GCAGTGACATGGGGGGGGGGTGAGATCCTTAATGGTGCTTCAGTCACTGTACACCCAGCAGTGACATGGGGGTGAGATCCCACGGTGCTTCAGTCACTGTACACCCAGCAGCAGTGCTTCAGTCACTGTACACCCAGCAGTGACATGGGGGGGGGTGAGATCTCACGGTGCTTTCAGTCACTGTACACCCAGCAGTGACATGGGGGGGGGGTGAGATCCTTGGTGCTTCAGTCACTGTACACCCAGCAGTGACATGGGGGAGGGGGTGAGATCCTTAATGGTGCTTCAGTTACTGTACACCCAGCTGTGACATGGGGGGAGGGGTGAGATCCTTAATGGTGAGTCACTGTACACCCAGCTGTGACATGGGGGAGGGGTGAGATCGGTGCTTCAGTCACTGTACACCCAGCAGTGACATGGGGGGGGGGGGTGAGATCCTTACGGTGCTTCAGTCACTGTACACCCAGCAGTGACATGGGGGAGGGGGTGAGATCCTTAATGGTGCTTCAGTCACTGTACACCCAGCTGTGACATGGGGGGGGGTGAGATCCTTAATGGTGCTTCAGTCACTGTACACCCAGCAGTGACATGGGGGAGGGGGGTGAGATCCCACGGTGCTTCAGTCACTGTACACCCAGCAGTGACATGGGGGGGGGGGGTGAGATCTCATGGTGCTTCAGTCACTGTACACCCAGCAGTGACATGGGGGGAGGGGGGTGAGGATCCTTAATGGTGCTTCAGTTACTGTACACCCAGCAGTGACATGGGGGAGGGAGGTGAGATCATGTGGTGCTTCAGTCACTGTACACCCAGCAGTGACATGGGGGGGGTGAGGGATCCTGGTGCTTCAGTCACTGTACACCCAGCAGTGACATGGGGGAGGGGGGAGATCCTTCATGGTGCTTCAGTCACTGTACACCCAGCAGTGACATGGGGGAGGGGTGAGGATCCCAATGGTGCTTCAGTTACTGTACCCCCAGCAGTGACATGGGGGGAGGGGGGAGATCCTAATGGTGCTTCAGTCACTGTACACCCAGCAGTGACATGGGGGAGGGGGGGTGAGATCCTTAATGTGCTTCAGTCACTGTACACCCAGGCTGTGACATGGGGGGGTGAGGATCCTAATGGTGCTTCAGTCACTGTACACCCAGCTGTGACATGGGGAGGGGGTGAGATCCTTGGTGCTTCAGTTACTGTACACCCAGCAGTGACATGGGGAGGGGGGTGAGATCAATGGTGCTCAGTCACTGTACACCCAGCTGTGACATGGGGGAGGGGGGTGAGATCCCAATGGTGCTTCAGTCACTGTACACCCAGCAGTGACATGGGGAGGGTGAGATCCTTGGTGGTCTGTACACCCAGCAGTGACAGGGGGGTGAGATCATTGGTGCTTCAGTCACTGTACACCCAGCAGTGACATGGGGGAGGGGGTGAGATCCTTACGGTGCTTCAGTCACTGTACACCCAGCAGTGACATGGGGGGGAGGGGGGTGAGATCCTTAATGGTGCTTCAGTCACTGTACACCCAGCAGTGACATGGGGGAGGGGGTGAGATCCTTAATGGTGCTTCAGTCACTGTACACCCAGCTGTGACATGGGGGGAGGGAGGGTGAGATGGGTGAGATGGTGCTTCAGTCACTGTACACCCAGCAGTGACATGGGGGGGGGGGATCTTAATGGTGCTTCAGTCACTGTACACCCAGCAGTGACATGGGGGAGGAGGAGATCCCCACGGTGCTTCAGTCACTGTACACCCAGCAGTGACATGGGGAGGAGGGTGAGGGTGCTTCAGTCACTGCACTCCAGCAGTGACATGGGGGAGGGTGAGATCCTTCAGTCTGTGTACACCCCACTGTACACCCAGTGACATGGGGGAGGGTGAGATCCAGGTGCTTCAGTCACTGTACACCCAGCTTCAGTCACTGTACACCCAGCAGTGACATGGGGGGAGGGTGAGATCCTTAATGGTGCTTCAGTCGCTGTACACCCAGCTGTGACATGGGGGAGGGGGGTGAGATCCTTAATGGTGCTTCAGTCACTGTACACCCAGCAGTGACATGGGGGGAGGGGGTGAGGGTGCTTCAGTCACTGGGTGACATGGGGGGGTGAGATTAATGGTGCTTCAGTCACTGTACACCCAGCAGTGACATGGGGGTGAGATCATGGTGCTTCAGTCACTGTACACCCAGCAGTGACATGGGGGGGGGTGAGATCCCACGGTGCTTCAGTCACTGTACACCCAGCAGTGACATGGGGGGAGGGGGTGAGATCCTTAATGGTGCTTCAGTCACTGTACACCCAGCAGTGACATGGGGGAGGGGGTGAGATCCTTAATGGTGCTTCAGTCACTGTACACCCAGCAGTGACATGGGGGGGGGTGAGATCCTGGTGCTTCAGTCACTGTACACCCAGCAGTGACATGGGGGGGGGGTGAGATCCTAATGGTGCTTCAGTCACTGTACACCCAGCAGTGACATGGGGGGAGGGGGGGTGAGATCCTTAATGGTGCTTCAGTCACTGTACACCCAGCAGTGACATGGGGGGAGGGGGGGTGAGATCCTTAATGGTGCTTCAGTCACTGTACACCCAGCAGTGACATGGGGAGGGGGTGAGGGATCCTTAATGGTGCTTCAGGTTAGGATACATGTATGTGTGGGATTGTTTGTCAAGTAATTTATAGGGAGGGATAGAGAAAAATAGTAAAATAAACATAATTATTTTACTATGTGGAGGGAGGGGGGGGGGAAGGGGGGTTAAACTCCTGCAAGAAAACCTATAAATCGATCTTACTTGAGTTCCGTGATGATGTCTTGACTATGGAGGACTAACATACAGTACTGCACACACTTGGAAATATTTTATACTGTTTCAAGCGAAGGTTTACATTAAGACCCCAGTCAAGGTCTGTGTGCGTGAAGGAGTCTCTTAATTATATGGATATAGGAAAAAAGTTACAGGGAAAAAAACTCGGGAAAAAACAGCTAAAAGTCACAGGAAGTCACCCACTTCAGGGCAAGGTTAAGAAGAGCAATTCTGACTATAGTAGGATCAGCCTCACCGACCCCCAACACACACACACACACACACAAACACAGGAGAGATTAGCAGACTGTCATCAATAAAAGCATTTTTTTATCACTCTCTCAACACCAACTCACAGTTGTGTCACTTACAACTACTGACAAGAATATAAATAACTGTCTTCACAACATAACGGTTAATAACAAGTCAGTGTAAATAACCAGAAGAAAAAAGTCCTACGCCAAAATGATAGGAAAAAAATGACAGTGAAAAGTGACAGACAACAAATTCCTAACCTACATATAACTTAGCCCCTAACCTAACCTTAACCTAACCTAACCTAACCTAACCCTAACCTAACCTTAACCTAACCTAACCTAACCTTAACCTAACTTAACCTACATATAGTTTACCCCCCTAACCTAATCTATCATTCCTGGGTTCATACTTTCTAAAATAAACCTAACCTAACCATAACTAAACTATGGTATCACCTAACATAATTAAGTGAGACAAAGTTTGACCCATGTATTGTTCCTTGTGAGTATTGTCCTTATCTACAGTAGACCCCCCCCGCCCCCCACAGTTGCGTCATGTTCTGTTTATGAAGGCTCTTGTGGCTATTGGAGAGTAATTATTCTGGGATAATGACCATTGTGTGTGTGGGAGGAGGGGCGGTCAGTCAGCCCTCGTGAAAGTTGCCGTACACAGTGTTGACTAATTTACTGCTTATTACAGCCTAATTATTCTCCAGGTGATGTGGTGAGGGCAGCCCACTCACTCACTCACTCACTCACTCACCCTGTGTGATTTATGGTAGTTTCTATATGACCTGCACGGGTGTTTATACGGAGGTTGGCTTAGGTTAGGTTGAGTTGAGTTAGGTCAGGTCAGGTTAGGTTGGCTTAGGTTAGGTTTAGTTAGGGAGGATGGGTTAAGTTTAGTTAGGTTAGGTTGGCTGGCTTAGGATAGGTTTGGTTAGGTTAGGTTGGCTTGGGTTAGCTTGGCTTAGTTAAGTTGGGTTAGGTTTAGTTAGATTAGGTTATGTTAGGTTATGATAAATTAGGTTATATTAGGTTAGGTTATGTTATGATATGATAGGCTGTGTTAGGTTGGGTTGGATCAGATTTAGGTTGGGTTGGCTGTTCGTATCTCGGTTAGACTAAGTTAGGTTTGGTTAGGTAAAGTTAGGCTGTTCACAAATAGGTAATATTAGATTAGGCTAAGTTTGGTTAGGTTAAATTTGATTTGGTTAGGGTAAGTTAGGCTGTTCACAAATAGGTTATATTAGATTAGGCTAAGTTTGGTTAGGGTAAGTTAGGCTGTTCATATGCATGTTAAGTTAAATTATATTAGGTTTGTTAGGTTAGGTGTGGGTAAGTGAATGTATCTAGTTAAGGTAGAGTCTCTGTAATTGTGATGTTATTTCATGTTTTAAATTACACATGAGGAAACATGGGAACAGGTGGTAGAGGCCAAGACACCCAGCAAAACATCGACACAGCCATAAACCCATAAACTCGCAGGAATTCTCCGTGTTAGGGCTCCGTCCACGATGGTAAAATGATAACTTACAGGAAAGGTTGTAGGTGACATTGGTCAGCTTTAAAACATACTCATGACCATTATTAAACATGGCCTTGTTAAATAGTTCTTACCTCCTGGACTACGACACTGAATCAGGTGTCCTTGAAAGTAAATAGCAACCCGAGCTGTTCTGTCCACTCTGAGTTTTCAATGTGACCAATTTTGTGCTGTTAAAGACAGTATCTTCTCTTGTGTATGAACCTCTGTCCTGTGTGGTGGTTAACAGTGACAACACCTGACTGTACTTCTCAGATTAGGGAACAATCTGTCTCTCTCTCTTATTTAAATAAATATACTGTATATGACACTTGTAGTATGGGGTTGCCCGTGACCCCAACACAAGCCAGTCACTCCCTGGGTAGTAAGTACTGTATACATTGTCTCTCCCTCAGATAAACATACACTCATCATGGACGCTGGAAAGCTGTATGTGTTGGACACTCTCCTCTCCAGACTCAAGGCCGAGGGCCACCGTGTCCTCATCTACTCCCAGATGACCAAGATGATTGACGTGCTGGAGGTGAGTACATGTAGTAATTAGTCACATACTATAGGAAGATGCAGTGGCCCGTTACTGTAGTGTGTTTGTGTCAAGGTTGTCCTCGCCTCCGTGGACACCCCTCGCTCATACTGACCTTGCTAGTACAAATTACCCATCCGTCTTAGTGGGCGTTGAAGCGTCCACAATATTATTACTGAGGTGTCCACAGTATGGCAATATTATTTATTGTGTGTCCAAGGCCGGGATGATACACCGGGGTACTGACACAACCTCTCAATACGGGGAACCATTCTTAAGTATATTATCTTCTGTAGGTTGTTGAAGTGTTGTAGCTTATGAGTGAAATATACCATACAGGTTGTTGTTGTTGTTGTAGCTTATGAGTGAAATATACCTTACAGGTTGTTGTTGTTGTTGTTGTTGTTGTAGCTTATGAGTGAAATATACCATACAGGTTGTTGTTGTCGTTAGAACATAAGAACTTAAGAAAATAAGGAATCTGCAATAGGCCGGTTGGCCTGTGCATGGCAGCTCCTGTCGAGAGTTACTACCACTCTCTATCATCCATGAATCTATCTAGCTTCCTTTTAAAACTTTCCAGCATTCAAGCACTTACTACAAAGTTGCTAAGCTTGTTCCACTCGTCCACCACCCTATTTGTGAACCAGTTCCTTCCTATCTCCCTCCTAAACCTAAACTTATCCAACTTAAATCCGTTGCTCCGAGTCCTATCCTGCTCGGATATTATAAGAACTTTATCTATATCCCCTTTATTGATTCCTTTCGCCCACTTAAATACTTCTATCATATCTCCCCGCACTCTTCGTCTTTCTAGGGAATGCAAGTTTAGTTTCTTTAACCTATCTTGATATGGAAGGTTTCTAAGTCCCGGAATCATTTTCGTCATTCTTCGCTGCACCGACTCCAGTGAATTGATATCCATTCTATAATAAGGGCACCGGAACTGAACAGCATAATCAAGGTGCGGCCTGACTAGCGCAAGATATAGTTGCAATAAGACCTCTGCACTCTTGTTACTTACACTTCTAGATATAAAACCTAATACTCTGTTTGCCTTATTCCGAACATTAATGCACTTTTGTCTAGGCCGTAGGTCCGGGCTTACAAGTACCCCTTAGTCTCTTTCACAAGTCGACTTCTCTAGGTTGATGTTGTTAAGGCTGTATACATTGACATTATTTGTTCTTCCAATAGTAAGTACGCAGCACTTGCTGGTGTTGAATTTCATTTGCCATTTTTCTGACCACTCCTGCAGTTTATTTAAATCCTCCTGTAGTGCATTTGCATCCTGCCCTGAATTAATCTGCAGCCCTATTTTGGTGTCATCTGCAAACTTGCTTATGTTGTGGGGTTATGGGTGGTTTGGTTCACACTCAGGATGGGATGGAGAAAGGAAACTCACAATGTGCTCTCTGTATACATATTGTATTGGATGTACAGGGCAGCTTGGTGCTGGGAAGTGGCAGCGTGGTTGGTGAGGGTGCTCAGAGGAGGACCAACTTGTGGGTCGCCATGCTCGCCGGTGGGAGCGAGGGCCGCCAGGCAGCGGTGGAGGAGGTGGTGTTGCTTGCTGGTTGGTGTAGGTAGAAAAAGAGAGGTCACCACGAGGTCAGGTCTTTTATAGCGGAGGTAGGCGTGGGTAGATAGTTGACCCCCGCTCCGTGGGCGGCGCTGGTTGACCCAGACCACGAGGCATACACTGGGGAATTCACGGGGTCGGCTACTCAGCGACAAACAGCGTTTGTAGGGGAGAAATCCACTACAATACTCCCTCCTTCCCTCCAGGTGGTGTAGGAGACTTGTTGTCTGCAGGGTTGCATGGCACATGTGAGGCAGAACGGGCGGTGCATGCCACATGTGAGCCATAACGGCGATCGCGTGGATGAGCCGGCCGCTAGAGGAGACAACTGTCTAGATACACACTATCTGTGGGAGTAGAGAGGGAGAAAAAGGGTGTGTGGAGGCGATGAATGTTGTGCTTCCCTCACGGCAGGTACAGAGTCGTCAGATCCTCCTGCTGGGGTGCGTGGGCCTGGGTCAGGAGCAGGGGCTGTGTCAGCAGAAGCGGATGAGGGCTCGTGACAGCAGCTGGGTCCACGACAGCAGCAGGGTGCAGGACAGTAGCAGGGGATACCTGAGGGAGAAAAGAGGGGTGTGTGGGTGCGCGTCAGGAGCAGGGGCCGCGTCAGGAGGAGCGGCAGGGGGTACTGCTGGGCCGGGGTAGCGTCTGAGGCAGGACGGGTGTGTTGGGGTCGGTAGGACGTGGTGCTTGGGGCAGGAAGAGGAGCTGGTGTCTGCTTAGAGAAGCAGTGCTGCTCTAGGGTGTCTAACCTGCGGTGTAGAGACAGTAGCTGTAGAGCCGTTGAGAGCTGCTTCTGTGTGGATAAGCCAGTCTTCCATGTTGCTTGAAGACTGGGAGCGTGATCTGTTTCTCCTCCATCCTGTGTGAGTGCAAATCTCTGGGGGTCACCATTTGTGGGGTTATGGGTGGTTTGGTTCACACTCAGGATGGGATGGAGAAAGGAAACTCACAATGTGCTCTCTGTATACATATTGTATTGGATGTGCAGTGCAACTTGGTGCTGGGAAGTGGCAGCGTGGTTACAAGCGTGATGTAGAGAGAGCTGGTTGGTGAGGGTGCTCAGAGGAGGACCAACTTGTGGGTCGCCATGCTCGCCGGTGGGAGCTAGGGCCGCCAGGCAGGAGGAGGAGGTGGTGTTGCTTGCTGGTTGGTGTAGGTAGAAAAAGAGAGGTCACCACGAGATCAGGTCTTTTATAGCGGAGGTAGGCGTGGGTAGATAGTTGACCCCCACTCCGTGGGCGGCACTGGTTGACCCAGACCACGAGGTATACACTGGGGAATTCACGGGGTCGGCTACTCAGCAACAAACAGCGTTTGTAGGGGAGAAATCCACTAAAATGTCACTGCTGATCCCAGTATCTAGATCGTTTATGTAGATTATGAACAAGAGTGGGCCCAGTACTGACCCCTGGAAAACCCCACTGGTTACACAGTCCCACTCAGATTTAACATCATCTACGCTGACCCTCTGTGTTCTATCAGTGAGCCATGATTTTATCCAATTTAAAACTTCCCCTCGATACCATGAGCCTTAACTTTTCTCAGAAGCCTCTGATGCGGTACTCTGTCAAACGCTTTGCTAAAGTCTAAGTAAATAACATCGTAATTTTCGTCATTATCTACTACCTCGAAGACTTTCCATATGTTGTTGTATCTTATGAGTGAAATATACCATACAGGTTGTTGTTGTTGTTGTAACTTATGAGTGAAATATACCATACAGGTTGTTGTTGTTGTTGTATCTTATGAGTGAAATATACCATACAGGTTGTTGTTGTTGTTGTATCTTATGAGTGAAATATACCATACAGGTTGTTGTTGTTGTTGTTGTTGTAGCTTATGAGTGAAATATACCATACAGGTTGTTGTTGTTGTATCTTATGAGTGAAATATATACACAGGTTGTTGTTGTTATTTGCTTATGAGTGAAATATACCATACAGGTTGTTGTTGTTGTTGTTGTATCTTATGGTAAAATATACCATACAGGTTGTTATTTGTTGTTGTTGTTGTATCTTATGAGTGAAATATACCATACAGGTTGTTGTTGTTGTTGTTGTATCTTATGGTAGAAATCTGCATACAGGTTGTTGTTGTTGTTGTAGCTTATAATATACCATACAGGTTATACCATACAGGTTGTTGTTGTTGTAACTTATGAGTGAAATATACCATACAGGTTGTTGTATCTTATGAGTGAAATATACCATACAGGTTGTTGTTGTTGTATCTTATGAGTGAAATATACCATACAGGTTGTTGTTGTTGTTGTATCTTATGAGTGAAATATACCATACAGGTTGTTGTTGTTGTATCTTATGAGTGAAATATACCATACAGGTTGTTGTTGTTGTTGTATCTTATGAGTGAAATATACCATACAGGTTGTTGTTGTTGTTGTAACTTATGAGTGAAATATACCATACAGGTTGTTGTTGTTGTATCTTATGAGTGAAATATACCATACAGGTTGTTGTTGTTGTTGTATCTTATGAGTGAAATATACCATACAGGTTGTTGTTGTTGTTGTTGTTGTAGCTTATGAGTGAAATATACCATACAGGTTGTTGTTGTTGTTGTATCTTATGAGTGAAATATACCATACAGGTTGTTGTTGTTGTTGTTGTATCTTATGAGTGAAATATACCATACAGGTTGTTGTTGTTGTTGTTGTATCTTATGAGTGAAATATACCATACAGGTTGTTGTTGTTGTTGTTGTATCTTATGAGTGAAATATACCATACAGGTTGTTGTTGTTGTTGTTGTATCTTATGAGTGAAATATACCATACAGGTTGTTGTTGTTGTTGTATCTTATGAGTGAAATATACCATACAGGTTGTTGTTGTTGTTGTATCTTATGAGTGAAATATACCATACAGGTTGTTGTTGTATCTTATGAGTGAAATATACCATACAGGTTGTTGTTGTTGTTAGAACATAAGAACTTAAGAAAATAAGGAATCTGCAATAGGTCGGATGGTCTGTGCATGGCAGCTCCTGTCGAGAGTTACTACCACTCTCTATCATCCATGAATCTATCTAGCCTCCTTTTAAAACTTTCCAGCATTCAAGCACTTACTACAAAGTTGCTAAGCTTGTTCCACTCGTCCACCACCCTATTTGTGAACCAGTTCCTTCGTATCTCCCTCCTAAACCTAAACTTATCCAACTTAAATCCGTTGCTGCGAGTCCTATCCTGCTCGGATATTATAAGAACTTTATCTATATCTCCTCTATTGATTCCTTTCACCCACTTAAATACTTCTATCATATCTCCCCGCACTCTTCGTCTTTCTAGGGAATGCAAGTTTAGTTTCTTTAACCTATCTTGATATAGAAGGTTTCTAAGTCCCGGAATCATTTTCGTCATTCTTCACTGCACCGACTCCGGTGAATTGATATCCATTCTATAATAAGGGCACCGGAACTGAA